TCATGGAAGAGGATTTCTAAAAACCTGTCTCTGAATGCCTCAAGACAAACATGCTGCCTCAAGTCACCACAGCCTTCGGCACATTCACTTATAATTTTCCACTTGGTGCTTCTTTCCCTTAAGTTATTGATCTGACCCCTAGGGGCACTGAGTTTGAGACCCTTGTAGGGCAGCCATGTGATCCTGGCTCTGGGGAACGCCTGCCCTCAAGGAAGGTGCAGAGGAAGAGAAAGCCACAGATGAGGCAGAGACAAAGTAGCCAGGAGAACGGGTGTGCCCTGCCAAAGGAAACGTTTTCTAGAATCAGAGCCTTTTAGCGGTGATCAGTGCTGCTCTGTCAGATGACACCTGCATAGAAGCCACTGTGTTTGAGGACGTGCAGGTAATTGCTGACTTTATCAGGAACAATTTCAGTTTCGGTGGCCACACAGAGGAAAAAGCGTAGGAGATGAAATGTGCGGAGAGAGAGTCTGCCAGGGCTGTCCACCACAACTTCTGCGATGGTGAAAATGTTCTATATCCACATCCAATATGGCAGCCACATGTGGCTCCTGACCACTTCAAATGTGGCCAGAGCAACTGAGGAATGGAATTTTTAATTGTATTTAATTTTAGTTTATTTGAATATAAAGAGTGCTGTAAGGGGAGGGGGAGAAAAAAAAGAGTGCTGTATGACTAGAGGCTACTGTATTGGACCGTTCAGGTTCTGGAACATTCCATGAAGAAATTTTGTCAGGAAGGGCTAGTGGGAAGTAGATGGAAGGGAATGAGGGAGGTCCAGGGATGGGGATGAGATGGGTGAAAGGATTAAGTGGATAAACTGAGGCATGCCAGGACCCTGGAAGTAGACTCAGAAAGGGGGCATGTGTTTCCTGTAGTTCTCACTGTGCTAGGATTCTGTGTGGACTGGTTGGTCATTCTTTAAGTGTCTTTACAACTTTTGCCAAATCCACAGGCCACCTGTGCTATTCTTTCCATAAAATTGGTCTTTAAATCATGACTCACTCCATTTACAGCAATGCAGGTCTACCCAGTATCTGAATCCCTTCCGGAATCAGGGACCAAAGAGATTTAGGTGCATTTTCAAATAAATCCTTCATTCCCCCCAACTCGTGTTGCTTTCACTCTCTTTTTAATTTTTTTAATTTTTTTTTTATTTTTAGTTGTTTTGTTGTTGTTTTTTTCTGGGGGTGGGTAATTAAGTTTATTTATTTTAATGAGGTTCTGGGGGTTGAACCCAGGACCTCGTGCATGCTGAGCATTCGCTCTGCCACTGAGCTATACCCTCCCCCACTGTTGCTTGCTCTTTAAACTCAGGTGCCATTCCCATCAGGTAACAAGGGATGCTTGTACATTTATTTAGATGGAAAAAGTTGAATATATGGTCATCGTAAATGGAAAATCTGTTCCATTTGCCACAAAGAGAACGAAACTTGTCATAAAAGACAATTACAATGAAAAGCAAATAAAAATATTTACCTTCTAACTGGATGTTGTTGCCAGCTCAGTTTTCTGAGCCTGAGGCCAGCTTTTCTCTGTTACAAAGAAAGAGTAGTAAAGGGTTAGGCATTAAAAATATTCTGGGACCCAGCTGAGCCTCTCTCCTTGACAGTAATCACGAGAACTCAGAAAGGAATGACTTTCTCACTGTGTTATTCAAGGTTATTTAAAGCTCTGTGTGGAGTTCACAGAGACTGGGTCTGGTATGCAACCCCCATTTTAGGAAATGTTGAGTTTTTTCATTGACGCCTCATAGTTCTATGAAGTAGGCTGTGCTATTATTGTCTTTTCATTTGAGGAGGCAATTTAGGCTCAGAGAGGTGAAGCCACTTGCCCAAAGTCACACAGCTGCCTCAGCCTCCAGCGCATGCGTGCTCTCTGAATCACTCTCTGGATTTTCCTTTTCATGTCAGTATCATCTATTTGGTCCGGGGGCAGCAAGCGTGTTCCCATTTCAGGCCCTACAGGCAATAGTGAGGGTAGGGCCCTGAAGACCTCCCTGCTCAGGCTTACTTGAGCCACTGTGGCTTCCTACTGGTGGGCTAGGTGACTGAGGCTGTCACCTCCCACCCCAGTCTCTCCCTCAAGCTAGTCAGAACCAGAGAGGGGCAGTGCCAGCATCAGCATGGACAGTGAACACTTCTGGGGGGCATGCAGAAATTTGGACATTTCTCTAGGATGCTTGGGGTTGGTGGGGACACCCCTCGGGTTCATGTTCCTCCTCCCCACCCCTCAGGGGGACCTTGTGCCAATGTGGGCATCCTCGGCGTGCCCACCCGTCAGTGGCTGTGGAGGATGCGTTCGGGGCAGCCGTGGTGACCGTGTGGGACAGTAACTTACACACCACAGAGAAGCCCACAGATGCCTTCGGGGACCTGGACTTCCTGGGAGCTGGCCGCAAGGCCAGCAATGTGAGACCTGCTTGTCTGGGCAGGGCCAGGGTTGGCCACGGGGCTGCATGCCAACGGGGTCTCCTGGAGCCAGGGTCTGGGGGTGCCTCAGCTGAACACTGTGTCTCCCCATTTGTCCATCCCTGTTTTTACCTCTCCTGGATCTCTGTCCCCTCCACCTCTGTCTGTCTTCTCTGAATCCATCCTCCTCTATCTGTGTTTGTCTGCCTCTCTCTGGGTCTCTGTCTCCCTTTCTCTCGGTCCCTGTCCACCTCCGTCTGGGTCCCTGTCTGCTCCCCTACCCCCGATCTCTGTCATTCTCTCTCTGCATCTCTGTCCCTTTCTCTCTTTCTCTGTCCCTCTCCCCTGGGTCTCCGTCACCCACCTGCCGCCGCCCTCGCCCCGCCCCCGGATCTCTGTCATCTCTCTGCGTTTCTGTCCCTATCTCTCTGTCTCTGTCTTCCTCCCTGTGTTCCCTCCTCTCGTGTGTCCACAGTTCCTCCGGCTCTCTGACCGCACGGATCCAGCTACAGTTTATAATCTGGTCACGCGCACATGGGGCTTCCGGGCCCCGAACCTGGTGGTGTCAGTGCTGGGGGGGTCGGGGGGCCCCATCCTCCAGACCTGGCTGCAGGACCTGCTGCGACGCGGTCTGGTGCGCGCTGCCCAGAGCACAGGTGACTGAGGGTGGGAGGGGGGCTGTGCCCTCCCTCAACTTCTCTAAGATGCTGTCTACCCGCCCCCACCCCCACCCCGTCAGTCTCTGTGTGGGTTTTTGTCTGACTCTCTAGTCTCTCTGTCTGTCTCTACACGCCTGTGTTGCCTCTGGACCTCATCACCACTCTCCGTGTCGCCGTGTAGGGGCCTGGATTGTCACTGGAGGGCTGCACCAGGGCATTGGCCGGCATGTTGGTGTGGCTGTGCGGGACCACCAGACGGCCAGCACTGGGGGCAGCAAGGTGGTGGCCATGGGCGTGGCCCCCTGGGGTGTGGTTCGGAATAGAGAGACACTCGTCAACCCCAAGGTAGGACCCAGGGGCTTGGGAATGGAGGGGACTGGGGGCTGGGAATCCCGGGTCTGAGGGAGGAGGAGCTGGAACCGGACTCAGGGTCGAGGGAAGAGCAGTTGCTGCCTGTCCTCCTGGCTCTGGTGGAAAGGCTCCCTGGTCTGGCCACTTGTCCCCCAGGGCTCGTTCCCTGCGAGGTACCGGTGGCGCGGCGACCCCGAGGATGGGGTGCAGTTTCCTCTCGACTACAACTACTCGGCCTTCTTCCTGGTGGACGACGGCACGCACGGCCGGCTGGGCGGAGAGAACCGCTTCCGCTTGGGCTTCGAGTCCTACGTCGCCCAGCAGAAGACGGGCGTGGGAGGTGAGTGGCTTTTTTCCACTGGAGATTCATGGCCCAAGGCTCAGGATCCCAGGGGGCTGATCTGGTCGGAATTTGAGGGTTGAGGTCAGGAGGAGTGATGGTTAAGTGATGGGCTTCTCCCATCATTTGCTGTGTTAAAAAAAAAAACTTTACCTTGTAATCTACAATATGTGGATGTGCACAGCTTGAGGAATTTTAAACAAAACTGAACCAGCTTGTGCCACCAGCACCCAGATCAAGAAACAGAGTATAATCAGCTCCTTCTCCTGCCCACACCCAAGGGCCACCCTATCTTGCTTGTCACAACATATGGTAGTTCTGACCATGTTTCACATGAGTAGAATCACATCTGCACGTTTTAAAGTCTGGCTTCTTATACTCAACATTATTTCTGTGAGAGTCATCCATATCATTGCATCAGTGGTAGTTTGTAAATAACCCACCCATCAAAGAAGAAAAAAACTAGAAAATATTTTGAACTGAATGATAATGATGTTATGACATACTAACACTTTTGGGATAAGGCCAATATAATACTTGTAGACTTAAAAGCACATATATAGTTTAAAAAAAAAGAAAAGAAAGTCTGAAAATTAATGATTTAAATCTCCAGTGGGAAAAAACCAACTTAGAAACAGAAGAGCAAATCGAATCTAGAGAAAGTAGAAACAAGGAAATAATCAAGACAAGGACAGAAATTGCTAAAACAGATACAAATGTCCAGTGGAGAAAATCAGCTAAACCAAAAGTTGCTTCTTTGAAACATTTCCTGTATTTTAAAAAGTGTCCACTCTTAGTTCTTAAATTTTACTTAGTTTTTTGGCACCTTTAACCTTATTTTTAAAAATTATCTTTTTGGGGTGTATAATTCTATGAGTTTTAGCATATGTATGGATTCATGTGACCATTTCCTGAGTCAGGAAACAGATTCTGTTCCCTTTGGACCCAACGCCTCGCAGCCACTGATCGGCTTTGCCATCCTTCTAGTCTCCTTTTTATCCAGAGGATCATATAAATGGAATCATGACCTTTTGAGACTGGCTTCTTCCACGCAGCATAATATTTTATGGCAGCTTTAATATGTGCTTATTGGAACTAATCAAACAGTGTGAAGGTACATAAGGAAATTCTTATTGCATGAGTTGTAATTTGTAAATAAGCCAAGGGTCAAAGAAGGAAAAAAAAGTTAAAAGAGTCCCTTCCTAGCTCCAACCCTCTCTATTAAGTAATCAGTGTTATCAGTGTTATTTGGTTTGGAGTTTATCCTTTCATACATTTCTCTATGCTTATAAAATCCTATGCAATTGTATTTCCACCTCTATGGTGTTTCTTTCTCTCTTTTATACTATACATATCACTTTCTTACTACCATTCCTTTAGGTCCAGATTGCTATCTTGCATCTCCTTCTAACAGTTGCATGATATCCCTTGGTAATGGTTGTACCATCTGTTATTTAAATTTTTCTCAGTAGGTGGAGACTTAAAGTTCTATCAGTGTTTGGTACTACAAACAATGCTGAATAAATATTGACATATGAACATTGGTAATAACATCCAGGTGTTTTAAAGTTTATACAATAGATCACCAAAGTGAGATTGCTCTGCGTGTATATGAATAGATAGTACTAGACAACTTTCTAAAAATTTGGAGCAATTTTCACTTTGTTGAGAATATGTGAGAGTGTCTTTTTCTGTCCAGTGTCACCCAGCTTTGGATACTCTTGCTTTAATTTTTTTTTTCCAATTTGATGAGTAAAGAGTGACATCTCACTTTAAATTTGATCTTTTAATTTATCTAACCACTGTTAAAAGATATAAACATATATTTTGTTGGTCAATCCGATTTCCTCAGTTATGAATTGGCTATTCCTATTCTTTGCACATTTTGAATGAGGTTACTGCTTTCTTATGTTTTTGTAAGAATTCTTCATAGCCTGTCCCAAGTAATGCTTTGACTGTTAGATGTACTGTAAATTTTTTAACAGATATTTTAATTATGGTGTCTATTTCCACAAAAATTCTATCATTTTTATGTGGTTAGATGTATTTATTATTTCTTTTATAGCCCTTTGGTTTCCCTTGTTTTTTTTTCTTTAAAGGTCCACTCCATTCCAACGCTATGCACATATTCCAAGCCTTCTTTTTTAATACCTTATATTTTTTATTTTCAAATCTTTAATCTATTTGGAAATGCTTTTTACATGTTTTGAGGTAAGGAATCTACATTTTTTTTCTTCTAAATGGGAAGCTTTGTTTTTTTCATGGCCATTTAATAAATAAACCATCTTTTTCCAGTTAACTTGATATTGCTAATTCACTTATAGGTTAAATTCCTCTCTATGTTAAACTGTTTCTGAACCTTTCTCTCTTCTACCTCTCTATTTATCTCTTCTTGTGCCAAAAATATTTTTTAATTACCAGCAATTTAAAGATGTTTGAATACATATAAGGAAAAGTTCCTCCGTGCTGTTCTTCCTCAAAAATTTCTTAGCCCTTCTGATATTTATTCTTCCATATGAATTTTAAAATTATTTTAAATTAAAATTAAAAAAGGAAAATATCACCTAACACCTCCTACCCCCCCTCTTTCCCCAAACTGCATTGAAGTTATGTGATACATTGTGACAGGTTACCATGGTATTTCTGTATGAATGAATTCCCAGGTGTTTTATTATTTTTATGAAAATATGGATAAGATGCATATTAGTACCAGTTGGAGGAAAGTTTTTGGCTTTTGTGTATTTTTCTTGTTTCAGTCCTCTAAACCAAATTTTCTTACTGATACTTATTTTGAATGGAGTTCCTCCAATATTCTGAGAATATAAAACATCTTTTCTTCAAATAAACATCTTTGTCTCTGCCAGTTTAAAAAAATACAGGTTTTCATTCAATTTTTTTCATTTTCTTGTATTATTATGTTAGCTCAAAACTTCCAGATAAGAAAAAAGAAAAACTTCCAGATAAGTGTGAATAGTAGTAAAGTTGTCTCATTTCTTATTTTAATGGGAATAGAGTTGGTAGAGAATGCTCTCATATGATTTTGCTGTCGGGCTTTGATAAATATCTTTACTGTATTTGGATAGTCCTTTTTATAATTCTTTATTTCCTTTATTTTCTGTTTGAACTTTCATCCTCTCCTGGCTCCTGGACAGTTAATCAGTTACAGGATTGACTCATGCCATAAAAATCCACGTCCTTCAGGAACCCAGGAGTCCAGGCTCCCAGCCCCCTCCTCCCTCAGGAAGTTGATCATTACTGTCTTCAGAATCTGGCCCCTCCCATTGTCCTCAAAGTCATGACAATTCCCATGAGCCTTGGGAATGAGGATTAGGCAGAATCCAACCTTTGCCACAGGGCCTTCTGGGAAATGTGGTTCTCTCCTATCCCTGCAAAGACTGATGGGAGGTGACCAAGCCCTCTGTTCTCTCTTCAGGGACTGGCATTGACATCCCTGTCCTCCTTCTCCTGATTGATGGTGATGAGAAGATGTTGCAGGTATAGGGGCCCGGATGTCTGAGTCTAAGTGAGCAGTGGCTGAGGGCCATACTCCTGGGTCCTGAGTCTTAGGGGAGGCAAGGGCTGGGGTTCTAGACTCCAGGTGGGGTGAATATCTTCTTTCCCTAACCTGATTCCCCGTTTTATCCTGTAGAGGATAGAGGACGCCACTCAGGCTCAGCTCCCCTGCCTCCTGGTGGCTGGGTCAGGGGGAGCTGCAGACTGCCTGGCAGAGATCCTGGAAGACACACTGGCTCCAGGAAGTGGAGGGGGCAGGCGACATGAAGCCCAAGATCGGATTAAGCGTTTCTTCCCCAAAGGGGACCCTGAGGTCCTGCAGGCCCAGGTATGATATTGGGGGTCCCACTCTGGATCTTGAGATGGGAGGGAGCTGGGGACTTCAGCTCCTGGGTCTTGAGAGGTGAAGGTACTGAGGACTTGGAGTCTTGGATCCAAGGGAAGAGGGATGGGGGCTCAGACTCATGGATATGAGGGAGGAGAGGCTGGGAACCTGGACTCCTTGGCACTGGGAGTAGAGATTACTAGGTCCTGGAGGGGAGCATTCTCCTGTATCTCTGTGGACAGGCCCAGGTGGAGTTGGGCTGGGGTTGTGGAATTTGGTATTGCAGGTGGAGAGGATCATGACTCGGAAGGAGCTGCTGACAGTCTATTCAACTGAAGACGGCCCTGAGGAATTTGAAACCATCGTTTTGAAGGCCCTTGTCAAGGGTAAGACTTGGACCCCTGAATCTCCCCCACTGTCAGCTTAACGTTGGACACCTCTCCTGGCCTCAGCACTTTATCCATCCTCTCTAACCTAAGGTTGTGTCCCCTTTGATCTCTTTCCTTTTATCATCCTATTTTGGGGCTTTGCATGGTGCTATTGGACAGATTTCCCAAGATACTTTCATTATGTTCCAACATTGCTTTCTTTCTGTTGCATCCATCCACCCATCCTTTCATCCTTCAACCATCCATCCATCCATATGTAAATCGATCTTTTACCCAACCATCCATCCATCTTGCCATTTACCCACCCTTCTATCTATCCATTCACATAGCCATTGACAATTCTGTCTACTCATCATTCTTCTAGCCATCCATCTTTCAATTTACCCTTCCATCTTTTTGTCTGTCCATCCACCCATCTATCCATCTTTCATCTATCCATCCATCTTCTCATCCATCCATCTATCCATCCATCCATTTTTCCATCTATCCACACACTTACTCTTTCTACCTTTCCTACATGCCTCCAATATGTTTTAGGCCCTGAGGGGCCGTGGAGTCAGAGATGAACCAGAGTGCTGTCTCCCAGTGAGGAACTCCTGATATTTCACTAGAGGAGTGAAGGTGAAAACTGAGGTAGGGAGCATCTTGGCCACCTGGTGCAGGCTGAGGATAGAGCTCATTATTTATTCAACAAACATCATTCCAGGCTCCAGAGATGAAAGCAGACCCCATTTCCTGCTCTCAAGGACCCCAGATCCTTCCAGCGTTATTTTGACACACCCTTAAGTAAATTCAAAACAAAAGCATGGGAGAGGAAATGTAGTCAGGAAGGGGAGAGAAATTCAATGGAGAGGTGGTATTTAAATTGGGCCTTGAAGAACTAGTAGAATTTGGAGTTAGTAAGATGGAGAGGTGAAGTAAATAAGTGGTAAGGAAGATTCCCATGGCTCTGTGGGATGTGGGTGGGGAAGGTCATTTTTGGTGTCAGAAGAGTTTTACAGGGAAAACACCCACTTAGATTAAAAATTCCCAAGAGGCACAGTTTAAATTTCTGATGTGTTCTCAGCCTCAGATCCTCACCCCAATTGCATCACCCCAATTGCATTGTAGTTCATGCGGAAAGAGTAGTTCCTTTTGACTTTGGAATCAGATAAAATTGAAATTTGAATACCAGCTTGGCCCCCTCCCTGCTGTGTGACGTTGAGAAAGTGACTTTCCCTCTCTGAGCCTTAGTGTGAAAAATAGAGATACTATCTGGCAGGAGTGTGGTGAGCCTCAGAGTCAGCTCATGGGCAGTGCCTGGTCCCCAGTAAATGGGAGCTCTTTTTAATATGATTCCATTTCTTGTGGGGACATATCCTTTCATAGAGGATGTCCATCAGTGGGCAGATCTGATTCACTTTGCAGAAGTTAACTCACCAGCCTCCTGGGAGAAAACAAAGCAGCTCTGGAAGATGTGGTTTGAGGGGCTGGTGTTGTAAGTCCATTGCCTGCAGAAGTGCGAGTGATTGCAGTCTGCTGGGGAAACTGGAGACGGCGGGACAGGCTCAGTGACAGCAGAGTCGAACTGATGGGGTTTCAGGAAGTGAGGAAGGAAGAGGGAAGAGGATAAATACTCCTTAAGAGTCTATGAACAGCCAGGCATTGTGCTGAGCAGTTGGCACGCATTATTGCCCCTGATCCTCCACCCCTACCTGTAAGGATTTGCAGTTTGCAGATGAAGAAACTGAGGCTCTGAGAGGGGGAGAGTGACTTGCCCCTGGTCACACAAGGTAACAGGTCAGGCTTTGAATTCAGGTCTGACTCTCAAGCCCACCGCGTGGGGCATGTTGAGGGAGGGCTAAGAGGTCCACGTGGATGGCAGGAAGCATGTGACATGAAGGGAGGGATGGAGAGATGGCTGGTGAGGTGGGCAGGGCCAGACCACCCAGGACCTCAACTGAGACTTTGTCCTGAGAGGCACAGGAGAGCCAGGGTCAATTCTGTGTAGAGAAGGACCCTCTGGGGTCAGGCAGTGTCAGACTAGAGAGAAGAGACCATAAAGAAAAGGAGGAGACTGCAATGATGGTTGTGGGAGAGGATGAAGCTGGCGTTGGCACTGAGGCCCTGGGGACAGTAAATGGGGCTAGGCAGACAGTCAGGGGGCTGGAAAGATGGGGCTTGGGGACTGATCAGCTATAGGTCTGAAGGGAAGGAGGGACAAGGACAGCACCTGAGGATCTGCCTCGATGACTGGGTGGACAAAGGTGCCATCCCTGAGACGGGGAGCCCACAGAAGCTCAGTTTTGGGGAAAGACACTGAGCTCAGTATGGACATGGGGAGCAGTGAGGGCTTGGGGGGAGGGGCCCAGGTGACAAATGGTAACATATTGAGGCAGAATATAAAGCAAGATATGATACATCATTTTTCCCCCTTCTCTTGAAACTGTGAGGGAATTAGGGGAGATTCATAGAATCATACAAAATCCAACTCTGAACTTGCTTTAGGGTTTTGAAGAGAAATATACAGTTTGTGGCCCGAGGCGTATTACTTTTTCTCTCTGGGCCTCTGGTTTCTCCCAAGTTAAAGTTATGCTGGTCAAGCTGCAGATTCCTCCCAGTTTGGGACATCTTCCTACAGTTACTATTGAAAACAATGCCTCTAAGTGGGTACCATTATTATTCACACTATAGATGAGGAAACTGAGGCTCCCATGGTTCAGGGACTGGCCTGAGGCCATTCATTTAGTACGATTGGTGGAGCTGGGATTGGAACCCAGGATCGCCTGCCTCAAAGCCCTTTGCTTGTCCACGCTCCACTCGATAACCTAGTTCTGCAAAACCGATTTTTTGGAACAACCCAGATGAGATGATAGGGACATCTGTCTTCCTTTGCTTTGGAGACAGATGTGCAGCAAGTTTAGCCAGAAGGAAAAACTAACTCGATGGCACAAGTGCTCTGAGACCCAGGGATGTCTAGACTTTGCTTTACTTCTCCTTAGATCCACTGGATGCTTCAGACTTTCCACACATTTGAATCTATTAAACTGTTGGATCAGGGTTTTACAGGCTTCTTGTTCTTCCTTGCTGTCTTTAATGACCTTCAGGGTTTATGGAGTCCCTCTGATCTTTGGATTTTTTCCCTGCTTCCGTCTCCTCTTGCTTCTCACAAATTCTCCCCAAGTTTCAGGAAATCAGAGTGACTCACATTTGTCATCATATGTTTTCCTGCACCCAGGCTTTTGCTCAAGCTGCTCCTGTTGCCCTGTGGTTTCTTTTCTCACCTTGTCTATGCCCACCACCAAGGGCACCGATCACTCTGAGGGCAGTTATGTGGTCCTGGGGCATATTTCCCCCAAATGAGCTCCTACAGGGCGGGGACTGTTTCCGATTTCTCTCTCCACCCCTCACTTCCTGGCCCAAAGCCTACCTCAATAAATGTTAAATAAATAAATGATTCCCTTTCCTTTTCTTGGCAGCTCTAAACCCTGAGTTGAATGACCTTATGCTTGTAATAGCCTGACTTCTTAAAGACCCCGGACTCTGCCCACCAACACTCCCCTTATACAGACTTCAGATGTCAAGTGTCTCAAATAGAAGTAACACAGACATCCATCAGGTGTTCCCAACCTCTCCCTGACTTCTTGCTCCCTCTCCCTCTCACCCTTTCAGCCTGTGGGAGCTCCGAAGCCTCAGCTTACCTGGACGAGTTGCGTTTGGCTGTGGCTTGGAACCGTGTGGACATTGCCCAGAGTGAACTCTTCCGGGGGGACATCCAGTGGCGGGTGAGGAGTTGGGGCCTGGAGGCTGGGGATCCTGACAAAAGGGATGCATTCTCCCCTCTCCCTGACTTCGTTGATATCTGGTTCTATTTTCCATTAAGGCCTGTTCTGCCTTCTCTCAATTGTCCATCTATCTCTGATTGTCCATCTGTCCTCCCTCCCCATCCATCCATCCATCCATTCGTCACTCATAGCTCTGTATCCTCATCTCTTGTCCTTAACCTCTGACCCCACCTGGCCTTTTGCCTGTCTCGGTGCTCACCTCTCCCCCCATTCCTCCCTCCCCACCAGTCCTTCCATCTGGAGGCCTCCCTTATGGACGCGCTCCTGAATGACCGGCCGGAATTCGTTCGCTTGCTCATCTCCCATGGCCTCAGCTTGGGCCACTTCCTGACCCCGACGCGCCTGGCCCAGCTCTACAACGCAGCGCCCCCCAACTCGCTTATCCGCAGCCTTCTGGACCAGGTGTCCCACAGCGCAGGCACCAAAACCCCAGCCCTTAAATCCTCTGAGGAATCACCACCCCCTAAGGTGGGGCAGGTGCTGCGGATGTTGCTGGGGAAGACGTGCGCGCCGACGTTCCCCGCCGGGGGCACCCCCCTGAGCGAAGGCAACAGGGAGGATGTAAGGAACCTGGTGGGTGGGAGAAGCCCAAAGGGACCTGGGGGCGGGGCTATGTAGGGAGGGGCGTGACTAGAGAACTGGATGAGTGACTGAAGGGGGCGGGGCTGATAGTTGGGGCGGAGTCAGGGAGCGTCTGGGGCGGGGCTAACCTTCATCACGCCTTCCTTGCCTGCAGTCCTATCTGCTGCCTGACAAACCTGCCTCAGAACTCTTGCTGGAAGGAATCCCGGGGCAGGCCCCCTGGAGTGACCTGCTCCTCTGGGCACTGCTCCTGAACAGGGCTCAGATGGCCGTGTACTTCTGGGAGATGGTGAGCGCTGACTTGATCTCTGATTCTACTGTCTCCTACATCCCTGCCCTTTATTTCTACTGGACTCCAGTGCGCAAGCAGTAAGAGTGCCTGACCTACGTCCCACCCTATCCTACCTTCTTTTGGGGGGATGGGGTGGGGTGGGTAATTATGTTTACTTATTTATTTATTTTGATGGAGGTCCTGGGGAATCCGTCCTCCATTCTATATATATGACCCCAAGGGCTGCTTCTTCCTCCCCACCCCTCACCCTCATCTATATATTTCTTGTAACTTGCCTTTTCCATTAACAGTATATATTGGGTGTTTCCTCTTGTTCATACATATGCATCAATTTCATCCTTTCAAAATGGATGCCTGTATGCGAAAGGGAGACGTTATCTGAGGCTGTGGGAGTCATTTCATCACAATTACACTTGTAGTTTAGATGCATCTTGTTACAATGCAGAAGGGGACAAAACTGAATACCTGTTTTCAGTTCTTTGGGGTACAAACTTAGGAATGGAATTGCTGGGTCATATGGTAACTCTGCATATAAGTTTTTGAGGCTGTTTTCCATAGTGACCGCACCATTTTACATTCTCACCAGCAGTGTATGGGGGTTCCATTTTCTCCATATCCTCAGCATCACTTGTTATTTTCTGTTTTTGTTTTTTTGTTGTGCTAAAATACAAATAACACGAAATTTACCATTTTAATCATTTTTAAAGTATACAGTTCACTGGTATCAGCTACACTCACACTGTTCTGTAACCATCCCCATCATCTAGGTCCGAACTCTGTCTTCATCCCAAACTAACTCTGCACCCATTTTAATAAAATTTTCAATTTTTTTTTCTTTTTTCGGAGGGGAGTTAATTAGGGTTTATTTATTTGTATGGAGGCACTGGGGATTGAACCCAGGACCTCGTGCATGCTAAGCATGTGCTCTACCACTGAGTTATACCCTCCCCCTTGTAAATAAGAACTCCCCATTCCCTCCAGCCCCTGGCAACCACTATTCTACTTTCTGCCTCCATGAATTTGACCATGCTAGGCACCTCATCTAAGTGGGATCATGTAATATTTGTACTTTGATATCTGGCTTATCTCACTTAGTATAATGTTTTCAAGGTTCTTCAGTATTGTATCATGTATTAAAATATCCTTCCTTTTTAAGATTGAATAATATTCCATTGTATGGATGTACTACATTTTCTTTATCCATTCATCTGTTGATGGACACGTGGGTTGTTTTGGCCTTTTGGCTATTGTGAATAATACTGCTATGGTTGGTGTACGAATATCTCTGTGAGTCCTTGCTTACAGTTGTTTCGAGTACATACCTAGGAATGGAACTGCTGGATCATGTAATTCTAGGTTTAATTTTTTTGAGGAACTGCCGTATTGTTTTGCACATTTTACTTTCACCAGCAAGGCACAAGTGTTCCAGTTTCTCCACATCTTCACCAACACTTGTTCTTTTCTTTTCTTTCTTTTTCTTTTTTGATAATTGCTATCCTAATGGGGGTGAAGTGGTATCTCACTGTGGTTTGGATTTGCATTTTCTTAATGATTAGTGATGTTGAGCATCTTTTCATCTGTTTATCAGCCATCTATATATCTTTGGAGAAATGTCTATTCAAGTCCTTTATCTACCTTTAAGTTGGCTTGTTGGTCTTTTTTGTTGATGAATTTTAAATTCTTTATATGTCCTGGATATTAATCCCTTGTTAGATATGTTATTTGCAAATATATTCTCCTTTTCTGTGGATTGTATTTTCCCTTTGTTGATAATGTCCTTTGATGTATAAAAGTTTAAAATTTTGATGATGTCCAGTTTGTCTTTTTTTCCTTTGTTTTCTTGTGCTTTTGGTGTCATATCTAATTAACCATTGCCAAATCCAAGGTCATGAAGTTTTATCCCTATGTTTTCTTCTAAGAGTTTTGTAGTTTTATAACTATTATATATAATTATTTAATCCTACATGTTAATCTTATTGAGATTCCTTATGTATGATGAGTTACTTCTGTCTTGCTGATTTCAAGATTCTCTCTTTGATTTGGGCTTCCAATGATCTGAGTATAATATTTCTTAGTGTGGATCTTTTTAAATTTATCCTACTTGGAATTCTTCATCTTCTTGGATGTGTAGATTCATGTGTTTTATCAAATTTGGGAAGTTTTAGTCTATTATATCTTGAAATATTTTTTCTGTCCCTTGCTATCCTCTGCTTTTGGGACTCCCATTATGCATATATTGTATGATTGATGCTGTCCCACAGTGTCTAAGGATCTGTTTATTCTTCTTTATTATTCTTTCTTTCTGCACCTCAAACTGGATAATCACAATTGCTCTATCTTCAAATTTACAAATTCTTTCTTCTGCCCCCTCAAAGCTGCTGTTAAGCCCTATTTATTTATTTAATTGAAGTTTAGTTGATTTACAATGTTGTGTCAATCTCTGATGTACAGCAGTGATTCAGTTATATATATAATATAAATATTCTTTTCTTCCTGTTCTTTTTCATTATAGGTTATTACAAGATATTGAATATAGTTCTGTGTGCTAGACATTAGGACCTTGTTTATTTTATATACAGGAGCTTGTATCTGCTAATCCCAAACTCCTAATTTATCCCTCCCGTTAAGCCCTTTAAGTGAATTTCTTCATTTCAGTTATTGCACTTTTCAGCTCCAAAATTTCTATTTGATTCCTTTTTATAATTTCTGTTTCTTTATTTCTTTTTTTTTTTT